GGTGTGAGCCACTGAGCCTGGCTGAATTTAGATTTTTCTAATGGGCAAGTAGAAGTTTCACATCTCCTTATTCATCTTTCATGTTCTACCTTCCTTCCACAAAACTTTGCTTATTAGTCAACTGCAACATTGGTTTTGGCCAGCCAGTGATTTCTCTGTTATGAAAATCATCATTAAAAGTGCTAGTAACAACAATCAAAACGAGTTGTCTATGGCTTGCTGTATAGATAAACAATTTAGCAGGGGCTGATTATGCATTGCCTAGCTGGCATGGAACATTATCTTCTCAAAATGAGTAGAAAATTTTCCATCAAAATGTTAGAAGCTATTGTACTCATAAGATAGCATTATTGGTGCATAATTCACTAAATAGAAAGCGGTAGTACTATTCAGTCTTACAGCATTATTCACAGTTTTTTACAGAAGAGGGTTCTAAATAATGGTATTGGTATGGGCTTTTCCCTACCTTTATGATTCACATATCACTGGAAGCCACATGCTTTAAAGTTACAAGATAGACTAATATGTACTACAGAAGCTGGCAGTTGCAGGTGCTAACAGCTAAGGTTTTATAAGATCCCTAATTATGGCCCAGTGGGTAGTAAGAATGCAGAGTACATAAGGTGTCTTGACCTGGGCAAAACATTATTTGTGAGGTCGCTGACTGTCATAGACTGGCGCTGTCCATCTGGACAACTGCTGCCCATCCCTGGATACATTTAAGTTCACAGTCAAGAAGCCCCTACCGTGTGAAATTCTTTGTTGGTGACACACTGGGGACCTGGAACAGGGATTAAAAGAAAGCATGATTTTTCCCATTACATTGAAACTCTGTCCTGAGGGACAATGACCAGCTGACTACAGCCTGGTGCACTCAGTACCCTTCAGCGTGTGCAGTAATCAGGAGTGAAGGCTGAAGACGATGGAGAACGAATGTGTAGGACAATGTGGGTGAGGGTGGGGGAGGTGGGGCTCAGTGAAGGGCCACCATGTAGTCATCAAGCCACCTTATGGTATTAAACTATAGGACCCCAGAGCGAATCCTGGACTCTCTGGGAATACACTTGGGGTTGGGAGCAAGGTTGGCCCCAAGGGTTAAGGGTTAGTGGAGAGGGAGAAAAAGTTGTTTTAAAGTACACGGCCAGGCACCGCTCTAGAAGCTGTTCTACACACAACCTTGGCCTCAAGCTGGCTCCTTTCTCCCAAGGGCTGTGCATGATATGACAGCTACAGATAATTATCTGAAAGGCAGTTATAAGGTGTTACTGTAAAGTGAATGAATGTCGGGGTAGTTTGAAATTCACGTTTTGAAAGGATCACTGCCTATATTAATACGGTGGTTCTGCAAATGAACTTTCTACTGTTAGTCAGATTTAACGTTATAATACTGCCACATTCACTTATATGGTATATCCATAGACTTTCTTGAGTGAGTAGGAGAGAAAGCAAGCATGTTGAGGACTGCACAGAGGTTTAAATATTCCCATGGGAGCGTGTCAGGCACAAGAATATCAGCAGAAAGGAGAAGGTAACTGCTGTACCACATAATGAAAGCCTTCTCTGACTAACATTTTTTCAATTTAGGTACTCTGACTTTTGAGAGGAAAGACTGCAGATACACGTTTATGAAATTCCCAATATGTTAGTATAACAATATTAAATTTCCACTATGTTAGTATAAAATTATTAAACTGTGGGTTTCATGGCTTTCCTCATCCCCTTATTCACTTTAATTTCTTCCCCTCTTACTACTCTGTCAAGAGAAAGGATATCCGCTTCTCAGGTAAGTCTTGAGAAAAAAAGCAATTAGAATGGAATAAAAACCATGGGGACCTAGCGGATGAGAGAGTAATATCAACATATAAGTGTGAGAGCAGTCTAGGGGCCTGGGGATGCTGCAGAAAAGGAGAGAGCAGGAGAATTTAATAAGAGTTGCTGTGGATTATACACCTGGACTCCTTTTCAGGTTTGAGGGATATATAGGAGAGAAGATGAACATTCTACATGTGTCATGTATCCTTCATCCAGCGTCACTCGGGGGCAGACAAGGGGCTCTGCGATTTGGGAGACAGAGGAGCAGTGTCACAGTTGAAACAAACCAGGGGTTCTTTAGCTAATATTGCTGTCCTTTAATCTACCATGTCTTTGGCCCTAAACAGTCTCCGTTCTCTGGAATCAGGAACAGGTGGGTGCGTGGGATTGGAGGTAAGAGGGTGGAGCAGGGGAACCTATCCAGGTCGCTGTGAAAATGAGAATGCTCGTAAAGGTTCAGTTGTGTGAACCTCAGAACACTGATTCTTTCTGTTTCGCAAACAAAAGTATATAATATTAATGGCAAAAGCAGTAGCACATACGTCTTTGTCACAAACCAGGATAGCAAATCAGTCACAAAAACTTGCATTTGGTTTCCCAGAGATCAGACTTTAGAACTGAATCAAGCTGTCGAGTTTCCATAAAGCACCCAGCTTTTGGCCTGCGTGTGGCCATGCCGTCACGGAGCTTGCCACTCATGGGCCTGTTCCGCTGGACTGCAGCCCAGCCCACTACATCTCAGACCTCTGGCCCTCAGATACACCCTCTCATCCTGACTTGACCTCTGGATCCTTTTTATGTTGTGACATTTTCTCATCTTACATTCTTCATCAATATTTTCCAAATAGGATGATCATTCGTAATCTTGAAAAAGCAGAGAAGACATTGTTTTATCTGCTTTTCCTCAGAAAGAAGTTTCTTACTGCCTGCTTCTATACCTACAGCACAGTCAGACAGCTTTGTCGATGGGCACTGGTTGTGGAGGGGCCCAGATTAAAGGATTTCAGTTTATGGATGCCCGTATCCTCCTCCATTAATGCACACTCACTACCAGCTCTTTCTCCTCAATATTGTAGCATGACCAAGTACCCTCAATAACACATTTAAGAACAAAAACCAAGACACATCTCCTCTAACTACTTTTCTTTCTCATCAGAGACAGGTTTCTTGAAAAAAAATTGGTACTACGTACCGCCCGTCTCTGACCTCAAATTCACTCTTCCTCTATGGTAATCCGTCTTACACAACCTTACTGAAAATGCTGTACCAAAGGTTGTGCGTGAACACCGGAACGTCTCATTGCTGAATCCAATGGAGACATTTCATGTTTTACTTTACTGCAATTTTGTGAAGCCTTGGACATTACACTCCTTGAAACTCTCTCTTCTTTTGCCTTCTACAATACTGCTCTTTTCTGTTTTCCTGATTACCTGTCTGGCTTCTCTTTTTCAGCTTCCTTTGGGTCATTTTTGTTTGCTTCATGTCTTAAATTAGAGGGTTGTGTTCTTTGCCACTATTTATTTGCATTCTTTATCTTCTCTGTGGGCTACGTTAACTACATTTAAAGCTTCGGCTCCGATCTATATGCTGATGATCTTCAAACCCACATCTCTAGCACAGATCTTTTTACCTGAGGTTCAACCTATAAATAAAACCGTCTAGATGTCCCACAGCACCTTCAACTCAGCATGCTCAAAATGGTCTCATTTCTATTCCGACGACTTGTCCCTCTCCCTCTGTTTCTGCGGAAATACCATCAGCCACCTTGTGTAAGACAGAAACTTGAAAAACATCTTTGCTTTTTTTCTCCTCCTTCCTCCATATTCAATCAGTGACTAAAATATGTTGGCTTTCCTAATAATAAATGTTACTATTATCACTTATTATTAGGAAATACTAATAATAAAATTCTCTTATCTCCAGTCCCCCAAGCTTATTCCCATGTCGGAAGTCGAGCCCTGATCTTTTCTAGATTTAGTTGCTGAAAATGTAAAACCGACTCTGTTTCCAGTCTTGTTCCTTGTTTTGCACACACAGCGTAAATCATCCCTAGAGCGATCTTCCAGAAATGCAAATGTAATCATGCTAGTCCCTCACTTGAAATCCTTCCATGGCTGTCCATTGCTTTCATGACAAAATCCGAAGTGCCTTTCCCTCCTTTACTGCTTCCTGTGTTGGACTTCTTTATGGAAGATGGGCTAGAGTAATAGTTTAATCTCTAGCTATTTCATGCTTGGCTTCGCTTTACTGAGGCTGCCAATTAGTGATTTAGAGGTGAACACTTAAGTGCTCTGCTGTGAACTGAAATCTGTTTGAAATAGTCCTTGAAGAGCCTCGGCCTTATTGTCACGAAAAACCTGTACTGGCTTGAACCTGTGATCTGAAGTTGAATGTCTGAATAGCCCCCAGCCATCCCCTGAGGGAAGAAAGTGAGCTTTGGATATGCTTTGGTTATTTCTAAGTCCAATTTATTCTAAATAATGATGTTTTTTTAACTTAATGCTAATTAAATGTAATATTTTCTGACATAGATGATAGTCCTTTTCCCCCTACTCTTCCTTTTATAATTGCTCTTCACTGGGAGGTGAGTAGATCTTCTGAAGTCTACTGACTTTTACAAAATGGTGTATGAGTGCTTCCATTCTTGTCTTGCTATCTGTTCTTTTCTGGTTTTAGGAATGGAGAATAACAACAACTAGCTGTGATCATATCAGTAGGAAATATCCTTCCTCTGGGCTGATTCACAGATTGCCCCTGTCTGCCTTGCCATTTCAAACTGAGGAACAGAACACAGAGCAGGCAAGAAAATTAAAGGGGCTGCACGCGCACGCGCGCACGCGCACACACACACACACACTACTTCTAAAAGTAAGGAAGGATCAATCAATTTTAAAAGGCTATGTACATATCAAAGACCCAAACAGGAAAAGATATAAACAAAATAATTCAGAAAGATTAGAGAGAGAGAAAAGAGAAGGGGAATCTGTTATCTTGTTTAAAAAGAGCCCATTTTTACTTTAATGTTAATAATTCTCTTCTTCAGCTGTATATGAAATACGGTTTCTACAAAGTCAACAACCAGACAGTTATCAAGGCCATTTTTTTTCCTTCGTACCTGTTATTCTTATCTACAGCCTGAAAGAAATCATAATTGTCAAGAGAAAAAAACTAAGTATTATGCCTCTTACACAAGGATGTCCTCCACCAGGGTGTGAAGGGCACTGGGATTTCGGATCAGTTTGTCAAGGAAGCTGACAATGTCAGTAAATTTTGGTCTGTGATTTCTCTCCTTCTGCCAGCAATGGAGCATCAGTTGGTGTAGAGATGCTGGACAGCCCATGGGAGCTGGAAGTCTGTACCCTTCTTCAATGGACAGAATGACCTAAATGCAAACATATACAGATTACTCTCTTATTTTTAGGCAATAATACATATGCTATGTCATAATTTCTTTTTATACAAGCAGTAGAAACCAAAATAATGGTAAGAATGAGAACTATGTGTGAGTACAAGGACCTAAAGAAGACTAAATACAAAAGCTGTGAACAAAAATTTCAAGCAGTTCTGAAGCATCTGCTCACTCCTATTCAAGGAAAATATGTTTTAAGCATGTGCTACCAGTATACCGGAGGTTAAGTTCATTACAACCTTAAGAAACAATTTTTTGTGTGTGTGACTTAGCTGGAACATCTCAAAATCCAATTAGAACATCAGAAAGTCAGCATTGTGATTGATGCATTTAGTGCAAATCACATACAACAAATGTCTTAAGTAAAAATTTTAAGAAAAATTCTGTTGAAGCACCGATTTCCTGAGCCACTTTTTATCCTTTTATAATAATGCCATTGTGTATTCTGTTTCTAAGCATCATCCCTTCTTTTGTCATCCTTGATTTAATTCCTACTCTCTGACATTTAGCTTTCCTTTAGTCTGACACTGACCTGATTATGAAGTCACCCTCCTATAACTCCTAAGATCATTTAATCCTTAAAATGCTATCACTGGCTAGCTTAAGGCTACAGGGAAATGGGAGCATTAGCTTGAGTATCCTCTGAGGCAGTGTGCTCAGGCAGAACTTCCGTGGTGGCAGAAATGTTCTCTCTACAACATGGTGGCACCCAGTCACATGTGGTTAGTGAGCACTTGAAATCCAGCTACTAGAATGAAGAAACTGAATTTTCAACTTCAGTTACTTTTAATTAATTTAAATGTATATAGCCACATGTGGCTAATGACTATGGAACAGTACAGCTCTTGGGAAGGGAATCTGCATAAGAGACCAAAGTTAAGACTAACAAGATAAAAATAACGATCTTTCTTGGTACTTAGGAAATCACAAAATAAGGCAGGCAATTCATCTGTTTAGTTATGTTTAGTTAGTGAAATTCCTAGCAATATGATAATACCGACCCTGAATTTATGTAGCCTAGGTTTTTATAAAATGTTCAAATGTACTCAGGTGATTATTTATTCTTATCTCTGGGAAAAAGACAAAAGAGAATGTTTATTGTCCCATTGTTGAGTTTGGGAAACTGAGGAACAGACTAATATTTAAAGACAGGCAAAATTTAACTTCCCTCTGCCCTGTCTCTCTAAAAAAAACCCCAGAAATATAAAAATGCAGGTTAAGAGATCGAGACCATCCTGGTCAACATGGTGAAACCCCAGTCTCTACTAAAAATATAAAATTAGCTGGGCATGGTGGCACATGCCTGTAGTCCCAGCTACTCTGGAGGCTGAGGCAGGAGAATTGCTTGAACCCAGGACGCGAGGTTGCAGTGAGCCGAGATGGCGCCATTGCACTCCAGCCTGGGTAACAAGAGCGAAACTCCAACTCAAAAAAAAAAAAAATGCAATTTGATTTCTTTTTAAATTCACACTATTGACCATGACTCTAACGTATTCTTAATTTATGTTAGAGGCTGTTTGTAAAAAAGGAACAACAATATGTCTTCAGGAACCTCTTAACTGCTAAGTTTTAGCATTTTTAGCAATAGGGAATTTTTCATAATCTCATCATTGTCTTTTTGATCAGACCGCTTTAGCCTGTCAGGATGCTAGAATTTTTCTGTTCATTTTACGTTTTGTTATTGAACAGGATTTTTCTCATCTGTTTTCTACTTTTACTACCAACTACGCTGTGGATTTTAAGACATTTTGTTACACGTTCTATTAAAGGAGGATGTGTGTAAGATACTTGCAATGTGTCAAAACTGTCATGGATAGCTTAGAGAAATAACTGAGAAAAACAGGACAGAATTCCATTATAAAATAATGTTGAAATCCCACTCTAGGAGTGCTTGATAGTCAATTTCCAGTTATCTAATTATAAATGCATAGATAAAATAGATGACAAGTGAGGTTATATTCTTAGGGGAAAAACAGTAGCTGCCTTTATTGAGTATCCACCATGTGCTATGTGCTGTGCATATTTTTATTCATTTGCTGCTTAAAATAGCTCAACATGGTAGATATTATTATCCCCATTTCTTAAATGAGACAGTTTAGACTCAGAGGAGTAAGGAAAGTTGCCTAAATTCACATAACTAGTAAGTGTCAGGATTGTAATTTGAATGAAATTCTTTTTTTTTTTTTTTTTTTTTTTTTTTGAGACGGAGTTTCGCTCTTGTTACCCAGGCTGGAGTGCAATGGTGCGATCTCGGCTCACCGCAACCTCCGCCTCCTGGGTTCAGGCAATTCTCCTGCCTCAGCCTCCTGAGTAGCTGGGATTACAGGCACGCACCACCATGCCCAGCTATTTTTTTTGTATTTTTAGTAGAGACGGGGTTTCACCATGTTGACCAAGATGGTCTCGATCTCTTGACCTCATGATCCACCCGCCTCGGCCTCCCAAAGTGCTGGGATTACAGGCTTGAGCCACCGCGCCCGGCCTGAATGAAATTCTTTTTAGCTTACAGCATTTTCCTCTGACCTCTCGCCAGAACTGCGTTTTAGTTCTCACAGTATAACATCTTCCTCTCCAATTTCTTATCGCCCAATAACCCAATACAATTTTAGTAGTGATTCCCATGCTATCTTTTGTCATGGTTTCTGCTATTTAGACTTCAATGTTTTACTTGGATTACAGGTTTAATATTCTGCATAAATAAAAAAAATTTATTTCATAGTTTGCCAAATATAATCTCAAACTGAATAGTAATTTCTTTTCTTTCTTTCTTTCTTTCTTTTTTTTTTTTTTTAAGACAGAGTCTTGCTCTGTTGCCAGGCTGGAGTGCAGTGGTGTGATCTCGGCTCACTGAAACCTCTGTCTCCCGGATTCAAGGGATTCTCCTGCGTCAGCTTTCAGAGTAGCTGAGACTATAGGCATGCACCACCATGCCCAGCTAATTTTTGTATTTTTCATAGAAACGGGGTTTCGCCAGGTTGACCAGGATGGTCTCAATCTCTTGACTTCGTGATCCACCTCCCTCGTCCTCTCATAGAGCTGAGATTACAGGGGTGAACCACCGCACCCGGCCACAGAGTCATTTCTTTTTTTTCTTTTTTCTTTTTTTTTTTTTTTTTTGAGACAGAGTGTCGCTCTTGTTACCCAGGCTGGAGTGCAATGGCACGATCTCAGCTCACCGCAACCTCCGCCCCTGGGTTCAGGCAATTCTCCTGTCTCAGCCTCCTGAGTAGCTGGGACTACAGGCACGCGCCACCATGCCCAGCTAATTTTTTGTATTTTTAGTAGAGACGGGGTTTCACCACGTTGACCAGGATGGTCTCGATTTCTCGACCTTGTGATCCACCCGCCTCGGCCTCCCATAGTGCTGGGATTACAGGCTTGAGCCACCGCGCCCGGCCAGAGTCATTTCTTAATGCCTTTGAGTCTTGTGCATGTTTCTATGATTGCATCCATGACAGTGTACAGTAATTTTTTCATCTGCCTTTCCACTAAGGCTGTACATACCTACAAGCAATAATTGTATCTCTAAATTTTCTATGCTTGTCATTTAGTATATTGCCTGACACATTAATAAATATTGTTGACCTTGCTATTACAAGAAATTTTTGGATTTGTCTTGGTAGATGAGCAGATTCTTGGAAAACAGTGTCTCAACCTATTCAAAATAAATTCAAAGTATAAGCATGACAGCATTTGAAGTCCTCGCTGAAGGAAGTATTGATTCAAAAAACTGCTGCATCAAACAGCCTTGTCCAAAAATGATTTCATAATCTCACTCTGGTTTTCCTGGATAAGGAGCCCGATGAGACTGGAAGCTTGCTCTTCTCTAAGGTAGGTACTTGACCAAAACGCAGCTTCCTGTAAGACTTGTGGCTTCTGCCTCCTGTCCAGAGGATTACTATTTTCCATTGGTCCCAGATCCTTAGCTTCAGTCCTGTGGACAGTTGGCATCCAAATCTAGATTGCTTATGCCTCTTGACAGAGTCGCTCTCATGCATGCCCTTTGAGAGTGACGAGAGGGTGGGCTCCCTTGCCTGGAAACTTTACCCACAATGTGTACAGCAGAGAATGTGGTCCTGGCCTCTCCATGGGGACGGTGAGAGGGTCAGAAGACTCGTGACTTTTCTTCTTGCTGACCTGTGGCTTTTCAATTTCCTCAATTCTCTAACTTGTGACTTTGTGAATTCTGTCTTGAGCTCTGGCTCATGACAGGTGCCAAACACAAAGGGACCCATCTTATAGGGAACCGTAACAATAACAACAATAGTGACAGTGATAAAAACTTGATAGCAAGTGTTGGGAGCTCTTAAGTATTTTCAAGGCCAGTTCTAAATGATGTTTATGTGTTAATTCTTTTAATCCTCACAATAACTTTATGAGGTAGGTATGATTGTTATCTCCATTTTACAGACAAATCATCACAAAGAGAGGTTTAACTTGCCTAAGATCACACATCTGAAAATTCTGCCGTCAAAGATAGAGAAGAAATTTATATTTTTTAAGCAATTCACAAGATTTCTTAAAAGATATATCTTTCTAACAGATTTTTAAATTTATTCATCCAAACAGATCTCTATTAAACACTTAATTGTACTACAGATCATTCTGTGTTCAAGGGATAACATAATAAGTCAGGTATATCTCTTCTTTAAGTAATAAATTATCTATTGAGAGTGACCAGGGACTACGAATATGAGAAGTGCCACATAGAACAGGCTGTTATGGGGGCATGTGGGAGAGGTACCCAACCCAGCTTCAGGGAGCCTTCTCCCAGGAGGTGACTGAATCTTAAAGGGTATGTGAAAGGGTCAAGTGGATGGGTTCAGAAAGAGATGTGATTAGAATGCAAGTAGATTTATGTGGCCAGAATATAGTCTTCAAAGAGAGGAATGGTGAGATTTGCGGTTGGGAGGTTAAGTAAAATTATGTTTTAGACTTTATGCAAAGGGGAAAAGGATTTTAGCAAGTACATTATATTAGATTTCCCATTTAGAAAAGTTCACTGTGCCTGCAGTGTAGAGAGCGCACTGGGGAGTCAAGGGATCCAGAAAGGAGCGCTGCAGTGATCCAGGTCTTAGTGGAGGCAACGGCTGTGGTGTTCAAGAGGTGAACTGATTTGACAGGACTGGGCTGAGATTAGATGTGTCAAGTAGAGGGAGGGCAGCAGACAAACAGCTTCTAGAATTTTGTCTTCATCAGCTGAAATAAGAGAGGACAGAGGAGAAGAAGCAATTCTGGGGCTGGGGTGATGAGTCCAATTTCCTACGAGCTTTCTGGTTTCAGATTCAACATAGATACCTTTGAGAGTTTATGTGTCAAGCTCTGAGCTAGGTGTTTTAACATAGTTTACCTAACTTAGGTCTCAAAATACTTTATTATTTGAGTATGATTATACTCATCTTATAGGTAAGAAAACCAAAGCTCAAACTGCTTAAAAGATTGGGCCAAGATCACATAGCAAGTAATTTCATGAATAATAGATTGATATTATCATGGTAGCCTCGAGATCACAGTAGTGGTTGAAAAAAATCTGTCCTGAGTCTTGTACCCCATCTTCGACTCATTCTCCCAGAATTACATCGTCAGGTCTCTTTGTGTGACTTATATACTCTGTGCTTTCACTATCACCTGTCTGCTTATGACCTCCATGCCTGCAGCTCCAGCTCAGCTTTCTCTCCAGATTTCAATATTTATCACCTATAGGATATATCTCTTCATAAAGATGTCTTGGATTTGTTTTGTGCAAAACTAAACCCACTCCTGCTTTGATATTTTTGTCCTTTGAGAAGGGTACCACCATTCTTCCAGTGATTCAAGTCAGTGGTCAGGGAGTCATCTGGGCCTCTGACTTTCCTGTTGCTCAAAATTAACTCATCATGCTGATTCTACCACTTTCATACAATTTAAATCTGTTCCATTTTTCATTCTCTCTTCAAACGCTTTGTTTCCCATTTTGATCACTGCAAAGGCCTCCCCATTGGTCTTCCTGCTTCTCCTTTTCCTCCACCAATCATCCCCTGCAGTGCAATGAGAGCGATCCTGCGGAAGGGGGACTGTGATCATGTTCCTCCCACATCTGAAATTCTGCAGTGGCTCACCACGTGCCTGGCTGTCAGTCCTCACCTTTACTGTGTCGCATTTTAACCTTGGCTCCAGCCAATGCAAAACATTTGTAGTCTCAGCTTGGGTTAACTGAGCTCCTCCAGAGCAGTGACTGCTTCTTTGTTCCCAGAATCTAGCACAATGCCGTGTCAAGTCAAGGAATGGAGTGCCAATTGTCAGATATGTGAATTATGAAAGCTGAATTTTCAGAGAAGCTTGAGAAATCCTATATTAACCTTTATCTTCATAAACATTTCCTTTGTGGAGAGTTTTGCTTTAGAGGTATATTCTGATTTCCTAATTAAGGACTGGCACAGAGCAGCATATGGGGTGCTTTGTCTAAAAGATTAATTGAGGTTTGTTGTTTTAGGATACGAAGGGGTGATAATTAACTAGAGAGAATTTTGTAACAGTTTGGTTTTATGATATTCATAGGCTGTCATCCTTTGGGAGAAGAGTTATACAAGGTTATACCCTTATTTCAAAATGTAAGAAGAAAATTAAAATAAAGTGAAAAAATATGAAAATGACTGCAACGATAATTTTTATGCAAAGTTAGAAGGAATTAGATTCTGTCATAAATTATTATCTAAACCCTGGCTGCTTCTTCTGAATAGATCATACCGATTTCTTGGTCACTGATACCACAATTTTTAACAACCTAGAATCAACAGAAGGCTCAGCGTGGGCTTGTGGTAAGGCTGTTCTGCTCTGGCCGAATCTGATGTGTTTTTCAATTTTCTTGATGGTTTCTGAATCAAAGAAGGCAATGCACATCTTACGTTAAGGAAAACAAAGAGATTGGACAGTCAATAAGAAGATATTGAGATATCTCTGAACAATATTGTTGAGCAAGGACTGTTTAGACTCTGCTTAGACTCCGTATAATGTATCACATTTTTATGTTATAAGGCTGCTAAGTATCTTCAAAAGAGAAGCACATTGAATTTAGTTATTTATACAGTGTTTTAAAAGAAACTGTCTCAAAATTTAACAAGGGCTGAAATGTACACTAGAAAATGGAATGTGAAATGATTTTATTTTTACCTTCCTTCTAAATATTCTTCACATCTTTGTGGAAAACCTATAATTTCAGGTAGAAGGGGGAGTGCTAAGCAGAGAGTCACAGTCTATACTTAGTCTTTGAGAAAATGATTACTTATATAGATTAGGATATTTATGTGCATAATACAGGAACACAATGTGTTTTCCTGGTGTGCAATATAAAGATTGTGTCTACATAGCCAAAAAAAAAAGGAACAAGAGAGAGAGACAGAGAGAGAAAGAAGGAAACGAAAGGCAGAACGAAAATTGTTGTAAGTAAATAACACTTATACTTTTAAACTCACTTTCTGTTATGGCTTGGCTGTGTCCCCACCCAAATCTCATCTTGAACTGTAGCTTCAATAATCCTCACATGTCATGGGAGGGACCCAATGGGAGTTAAGTGAATCATGGGGGCATGCTTTTCCCGTGATGTTCTCATGTGAACAAGTCTCATGAAATCTGATGGTTTTATAAAGGGCAGTTCCCCAGCACATGTTCTCTTGCCTGCCACCACGTAAGACATGCCTTTACTCCTCTTTTGTCTTCCACCATGGCTGGGAGGCCTCCCTAGCCACAAGGAACTGTGAGTCCATTAAGCCTCTTTCCTTTATAAATTACCCAGTCTCTGGTTATTTCTTCATAGCCATGTGAAAATGGACTAATATACTTTCTCATTCAATAATTTTCAATATTCACAATGTATAACTCAGTTAAAACCAATCAAAACCAAATGAAATTCAATATACTAATAAAAAGAATTCTAGAAAAAAGGGGTTATAGTGATGAAATATTTAGATACAGGAAACACTTTTTTTCGGAGGCTAATTTGTTATTTAACCTAAAATTTTAAGATATTCTTCTCAGCTTTAAGATAAAAAAAAAAGTTTCTTAAAACTCTATGCTTACGAAAATTATCCAGTCTTTCTTTTTGGAAGTCACAATAGCATGTCAAGGACCTACATAAAATGAAAACTATGTGTCCTTCAGGGGGTCTCCTTTTTTGGGATAGTTAAATGAGTTGACGAAATGAGGAACAACGTGTAGGACTCTCAGAGATTAAAAAGTTGTTGATGACATATTTATCATTTGAAAAATCTTTGTCCCTGACAGTTCAAAGTCTGATTCATTTGTAAGTTACGGGAAAAACATTAGTGAAGGCGTTGCTTGAAACCACACTGAAGTCCTAAGCTGTCACTAACCAAGCTCTGCCTTTGGGCAAGTCTCTATCTCTGCATTGATAAAGAAAAGAGGACTGGACTCTGCAATAGTACCTTCCACCTCAAAAAGCTAGGTTGCTAGTCATTGAAACCAAAGATTTAGTGTATAGGAACTTTGGTAACATCACTAGATTTGGAGTTTCTGTAAATTTAACTCAGGATTTGGCCTCCATTCTAAGGACTATTTCTCACAGAGTTCAAGTGCTTAGATGTACCTCTATACCGAGACAAAAATACAGACAGAACCAGAGTATTTCCTTGTAAAGTAAAGCTAGGAAGATTTGGGGCACCACGGTATTT